GGTAGGCAGGGTCCATCTTACACCTATCCCCCTGCTTCTTTTTAAGATCCCACATAGTTGTGGTCCCATCATCGGCACCGGGTTCCCATGCAAAGCGTGCAACGCCAATGCAAAATCCCAACCATTCTGCGGAAGCTGTCATCTCTTCTTCATCCCATGCTCCACTGGAAGGATATCAAATATCACAGTCCATATACAATCTAGTTGTGTGTGTCTAATGCACTCACGAATCTGTGATGTTCGATCTATTACTACCTCCACACACACAATCTCTCTCTCTCTCTCTCTCTCTCTCTCTCTCTCTCTCTCTCTCTCTCTCTCAGAGCATGGGACTTCAGCAGGAGAATATCAATACCACTCTCTCTTATATGAAGGCATATCTTTGCAGTGACCTGTGATGATTGATCTATTACTGCCTCTCTCTCTCTCTCTCTCTCTCTCTCTCTCTCTCTCTCTCTCTCTCTCTCAGCATGGAACTTCAGCAGGAGAATATCAATACCACACTCTCTTACATGAAGGTATATATTTGCAGTGACCATATCTGGATACTTCTAGATATAAAAAAGAAAGACATTCTTCTACCATGATCGCATGCATGATTGGCATTGACCGCAGTAAAACCGTAAAAGTCCCATGCGTATCACTGCAGTTTTAGAACTTTTACTGCCATATCATTGACCACAGTAAAATGTAGAAGTCTCATGTCTAACATCATTGACCACAGTAAAATGTAGAAGTCTCATGTCTATCACTGCAGTTTTACTGCCATATCATTGACCGCCGTCAAACTGTAGACGCCTCATGTGTATCACTGCAATACTGCAAGTCATATCCGATCGCGGCAATTGGCGACACTGTGAAGAGCCTGAACATGATTGATTATCGCAACACTCCCTCCCATGGTACGTACTCCTGGCACTACGGATTAAAAAACAAACCCTCCATCGGTGTTGGGAGCTTCTTTGTGACAAACTTTCCATGGTACTGCAAGTGATATCCGATCGCGGCAATAGGCGACATTGTGAAATTACAACCACATTCTGCAGCCATCATCAACAACTAACCCTCCACTTCTCGCCAGTCATATAACTACAGGCCTCAGACCTGGTGTTGGGAGCTTGCTTCTTTGTTACAGACTTTCCGGTCTTCAGAATGCCGGATGTTATAACCCAAAGAGAGCAGCATAAAAAAGATACTTCTGAATCAATGCTATAATCGACGCACCCACTTTCTCCAGTTTATGCCTACAGTGCAGAATCTCACGATTCCCGCGCGGTACTCCTGACAATAAAACCGGACTCGATAACCGGAAGGGCGCATGCTCAACGGTGTCCGCCTGTCGTTTGCCTTAGCAGTTGAAACCTCTGAAAGGAAAAAAAAACTGGACTCGATAACCGGAAGAGAGCAGGCTGAAACCCCGTCCACATCTCCGTTGCTTTCGCAGCTGAGACCCAACCTGGCAGGAGGCTTCACTCAGCTGGAATACTTCACCTATCGGTCTTCGCAACTGCGAGAAATTACAGTTCATGAGGCAATTGATGACATAAATTCTGCTGATGCAACGTTTTTGCTCGCCGCCAAACATAACGCCCCATCATCATGAAATGCATACAGACCCTGTTCTGGTCTAAATCCGGTCATCACAACGAGGTAGTCAGTCACTGTTTTCAGGTAGGCTATCAGCTCCACAAGCCACGAGGAGGGACGACGTAGTCCCGAAGAACATGACCAGCATATTACTGCTGCGGTTGGCAATCATCTGACAATCTGACAAAGGTATTGCAATGATGATGTGCTGCAGAAAGAAAGATCTGCAAGCAACCTCCAGGAGATGAGGTGATTGTCAGCAAACACACCACAAGAGATGCCAGCAAACACACCACAGGAGCTGCTGCTGCTACAGGCCACTTGACCGCAGTTCGAACTCTGGTGCCGTTGCAATGGTTACTCTAAAGGGACATTGAGCAAGAGGTCGGTGAACAGTTCAACCTCTATGAGAGAGAGATTTAGCTGTGCGCGCCCAAATGGGAAACAAACTGCTCAGCAAAAGATTTAAAATGACCAGCACGTCAATGTCTGCGCCATCCAATGGGCCCTTTTTCTAGCAGCACATATATACCCTTTTGCTCGGCAGTGCCGCTGGTTGTCGCTGACGCCAACCATGGCCTCCATGTATCCTGGTGGGTCTGTGAAAGATATCCCCGTTCCTTTGATATCCCCTGTATCACACAAGACTCACTGAACACCAGCCAACTATGTGGCAGAAAACTCGAAAGAACACTTTCTACCATGATCAATAACTGCATCAGCCTGTGCCACAACCCTTACCTTCTTCTTCTTCTTCCTCTGTCTCAAGCCACTTAGCGATACGTTCGCTTTTCAGTACCATAAGATACTTGGGGGAGATAGCCAGATTACCACCAACACAAGCCAAAATGGATAAATCCAATAAAAGATAATACAAGCTAACCAACCAAGAGCGTCAGGGTTAAGCACCAACAACTGACAATCAATGCCATTCATTCTCCTCCAAACTTCCGAAGGCAGTTCAGCACCAATAAGCAACAATGGATGGTGTCAGCTACTACGCTCATTCCACGGCAATCTCGAAACGACTGCCACCCTACCCATCCTTCTTGCTCCCTCTACACCACGTTCCGCTACTTCTCTACGGCATGCCACACACAACACATCGCACACACATGCATACGTACTGCCATTGCCTTGGAAACCTCTGCTCGATAAGCCACGGCCCACCGGGCCTTCAATGGGGATGGACTGTGAACAGTCGATACAGTACGCACCATGCGTGGCGAGCGAGGTCTGAACTGCTCTGCACAAATAAGAAGACATAGCTGTTTACTGCCATCTTATACTGCAGACTGCTCTCTCTATGACAGCTTGACCATGCTCTCCCTTCTCGACAACAAGTCTGCATATGACGGACAGATCGCATGTCCTCCTCTCGACCCCGAAAGCGAGAGAAAATAGAAAGGCATAGCTTCCGCGCAAAACTATGTATAGTTATTAGTTAGTGAAAGCCTCAATCTCACATCTAGACTTCTGGTCAACTGAAGTATTTATGTCTGCAATGGCTGTTGTGCAATCCTTCCAGCCATCACACCAGCCACATTTGCGGAAGTGTAATTCATAAACAACCATCACACGCCACCACCTTCAAACACTCCTGAGTAACTTCACCGATAGATCACAAGTCCCACTTGTCTGAATCTGTGAGGTCACGTACACAGCGAACAAAGCTTGACCAATCAAAATACCAATTCCTCAGTCCAAGCATACATAGTACATATACACAATACCCCTTTCCTTTTCCACAGTACCCCCTCTTCTTTCTGATGGGAGCTCACCCGCCGTTCATACATTGATCCACCAAATGCCCACTCTCGTCGTCAGCAATGTCGCCAATCCGCTTGTGTCGAGGGGCTCCTCGGTACAGATGAAGCAAGACCCTGTGCTGTGCTTCCTTGTCACATTCTTTGGCGGTAGAGTGACCGTTCCGTTCGAAGTCCGCAGCGCTCGATTACAACTGCGAGAGGAAACATAAGGAGGGAGGGTAGAACAAAAGCTGTACGGTTCAAGAAGTCCAACCCCCATTTGGACCGATACCGATGGTACAACATGGGAAATGTGGGCCGCTTGTACTGGCAGAAGTTGGTTCCTCCTCCTCACTTGGGCCGCTTGTACTGGTAGCAGTTGGGTACTCCTCACTTGCAAAAGCGGCAGCAACTTGAATACCGTCATTGATGTGACACAATAGAAATAGGCACCACATGCGATACAGCCAACTTGCAAAACTGGCAGCGACTGTGAGCTTAGATCGCAGATGGAAGAGTCTGGTATCCAAAGCAGTGCGTTCTGCTAACAGGTCACCGTCAACACTGCTACTGCGTTCTTCTCAAGACAAATGCATCACACGGCAAAACCTGCAAGGGTGCAACCTCCCAGTCGTGTGACGACAGCCTTCCTTCCATAAGCACTGTCATATGTCAAAACATGCATGCACAAGGATAGGGAGGGCTTTACCAGCCCCTTGCAGGATCGGTCATGTCTGCACGGTCGTTACACACGTGAGGCAACTTGCAAGAGAATGTCCCAGTTCCGTGATGACGGCACAGGAAAAGGAATACACAAACATGATTCCAGGTCGAAAGGAAGGAAAAGTGCACCGTCTTAATCTACTCGATAAACGCTACACTGGACTGATATAATCCAACGGTCCAGGATCGATGTTATCCAATGGATCAACGGTCCAGGATCGATCTTATCCAATGGATCAATGGCCCAGGATCGATCTTATCCAATCAATCAATGGTCCAGGATTGAACTTAGGCAATGACAGAACAAACTGCATGTGGGGGGATGATCTCGCAACAGCAAAACATGTGATGGATCTATCTACCAGTGGTCCGATCTTATCCGTTGATTTCGATCTTATCCGTTGGGATCGATCTTATCCATTGGGATCAATCTTATCCGTTGGGGACAATCTTCTCTGCTGGACCGAATAAGATTTGTGAATGAGAGAATCTTATCCGTTGGGGACAATCTTCTCTGAATCTCTGCTGGACCGAATAAGATTTGCGAATGAGAGAACAAACAGCATGTGGAGCGATCTAACAATAGAAACACACGCGATGAAACTCTCTCAGAGATACTGGATCTCTCAGTGGTAATGGAACTACTGAACGATTTGTGAACGAGAGGACAAACCGCGTGGGGAACGTCTCGCAACAGAAACACATGAGCAAAATGCGTGTGGTACGGTCTCACAACAGACACACACACGCGATGAAATCTCTCTCCCAGATGCCAGGTAATGCAAACACTGAACAATTCCCTCATAAATAAGCGGGCGAAAACAAAGTGGCCACGCCACGTGTGCCGAACTGCAAAAGAAAAGAGCTGCAAGCAGATGGGTTATCATTCAACACATGGGGGACTCTCATTCCACATGATGGGTTTTGTGTCCTCCCCATAACACGCAATTGTGTTATTTATTCCGATCGCTCTCATCAGCAATAACGACAAACTCCAAAGAGCTGCAGAGAATCCTTGGCAGAGCCGGTGGGCTGTTCTTTCCTCCTCCACCATCTTCTCACCCACACAGCTCCTCCGTACCCCCCACAAGGACATAAAATTCTTAATTTAGTCTTTCCCCAGATGGCTGTTACCTGAAGCTCATGTGGACGCAACCACCACTGGTTCTCTTCTCTTGGGGGGTAATTCTCCGCCGCTGGATCTGTTCTCTTGGCGGCAATTCTCTTAAAATTGGCCACTCAGGGCAGCTTGCGTACAGCTTCACATGTGAAGAGCATCTCGATCGCGTAACACGCACGTAAGAAGCATATACACAACTGACTACCAGGGAGTCGTTCTTCTAGCGTCCATAGACTCCATTCTCTTGGCTGTGAAATGTCCCGATCGTATAGACGATTGACCGTCGTACAAGGAGAGGATTACCACAGCACCCGTCTTCCAGCTTGCATACGCGGCCCAGACCAGAGGGATTACAAAGCATTTACGAAAGTACCCTTCTGGCTCATTAGTAAATTGAACTCGGCACACCTGCTGGCAGAGAGAGAGAGAGAGCTTTACGCACCCTGTTCCTCCAGCAGTTTGATGTCACCGCTCGTCCACGACCTTGACGTCCAGTAGTCGGTGACCAACATTAGGGTGATGCTTACTTCCATCAATTAACAGGAAGGCGCCCATGCATCTGGTCTTTCTTTTCTACGCAGATACGCTTTCTCAATTCCTGATTCAAGGAAGCAGAGGACAATCCAAGCTTGAACCGAAACGACCCCCCAACCCTGCCCTCTCTTCTCCTTTCCTGGAAAACTTCTCACCCACCTACCTCCCTGGGCATCTGCCTTCTCTCTTCTCCCAAATCCCCCCATTCTCTCTTTTTCTCAAATCCCTCCAAGGTACACGGCCATTCAAGCTTGGTAACTCGCTGACAAAGGACACACCTCCCACCTCCCACCTCCCACCTCCCACCTCCCACCTCCCACCTCCCACCTCACTTGATTGATGTTGCGGCATCCATATGCGCACGGCGCCTTGCTTTACGTACGTTAGTTGCAATGCGGCTGGCTGGCTGTTTGGCTGGCTCGCAGACCGAAGGGGTCGACACTGGCACACCATCACCTTTTATGTGGAACACCTGAGCCGAGTGTGACAACACATCAGAGCCCTCCTGATGCTCTGGCCAGTCAATCACCCACAATCCTCGATCAGTCACAAGCTCGACCCGCAAGAAAAGCAAGCGGTTGCGGCCCGAGGAGATCCAACTGATCAGTTGAGCTTCGCCACCAAACTTCATCCCAAAAGGACAGTCCTGCGTGCTCACGCAGCTGATACAGTTCGAAGTTGACCATGCTGAAGATCAATGCTTCAGCAACACTCACCTTTCACATGAGCTTGATTCCACAAACTGCATGCACAGACATACGTATGTTCTATGCCACCACCTCCGGTGCCTTCTGCATATAACTTTGTCGTTTTTCCGGAGATAAACATGTCGGATGATGCTGAATGTAACACCAAGCCTCCCTCTCACAGCTCACCATTGTATAGAAGAGCATGCAATCCCACAAACTCCATCGCATCACTGGGAGAGAGCACTCCTTCTCAAGCGATGAGAAGAGAGTTCCAAACGATCAGTGGAGGAGAGCATGCTCCCTCTCTCAAGCAGAAAAGACGAGAGAGAGAGAGAGAGAGAGAGAGAGAGAGAGAGAGAGAGAGAGAGAGAGAGAGAGAGAGAGAGAGAGAGAGAGGCTGACCTTGCAAAGAGTCTGCGAATTTTGGATGCATTGCAATACATCCTTTCATTTCCAGAGAACCACAGCGCTTTCCCTCACGTGCACGCTTCTTTTCCCACTAGCGGCGACGACCGTGCATGCCAGCTGCATATGGGCGCCTCTGTCTATGACCTCCAGGGCGGCCTCGGCAATCCGCTCCACTATTGCCACCCCTGCCTCCACCCCGCCCCATCGAGTTCATATTCGACGCCATCACCCTCCCCATGGAATGCGTAGAGGATGTCATCCTATCTTCCTCCTCTCGGCTGTTATACTCCAATACCTGGATCCACCACAAGAAACAACGATCACATATTGCAATTAGCACCTGTCTGCCTCGGCAGCCGCCCCCCACTTGCCCCATACGATTTACATCACACAGTGACGAGCAAAACAGCCACAGCCACATCCTCAACAGTATGCAAACACACCGCATCATCGACTGGAAATCATAGCTGTAGCATGACGGTTCTGATTCAGGGGCGATTGGGAGTTTCGAGTATTGAAGATCAGCCGCAGAGCACTGAAACAATGTCGACCATGGCTGTCCACAACAAACTTGACTTTCCTGCCATGCAAAGACTCAGTTTGGAACGGGGCCCTGCAACCAGCAGGCATAACCATTTTATCTAAGGAGCAGAGACTTAGGACGAAACAGCTGAAACAGGGAAATACTTAATCCTGGGGTAGCTTTTCCAATAACTTCAGCGGTGCTGGCTTAGGAGAAGGAGAAACCTGTGCTGCAAGAGAATGGCCACAAAGTGCTTCCCCAGGAAAGCCACCGGTACATGCCGCAGGGAAAACTGGCTGCATTCCAGGGTTAATAATGAACCACACCCGAACGAAAAACAGCCTTGAATCTGGCCAGCCAAAAAATATTCCTGAGCACTTTACTCTCTTTTTATCAACTCAATCCCCTCCCCTCCCTCCCTGCCCCCTGCATACAAAACGAAAGTTTGGATCAGCATCACAGCCTACATATGCACCTGCCACGCGCACGCACACACACACACAGACAGACACACACACACACACACACACACACACACACACACAGAGAGAGAGAGAGAGAGAGAGAGA